CATAGGCTGTTTAACGAGTTCCACAATCAAAATCACGCCGTCACTCACTTGATTGGTCAGCTTATATGATTTACTGATCAGAATTTTAAAGAAGCTGGATCGGTACAAACCTCTAGTCGATATCACCATAACATCTTCAGTTCTTGTTCTATTCTGATAAACTAAAGTGGTCTGCTTTCGATATATATCATTTTTTTGGAGTAATCACGCGGCGACAGACAAATTGGATCACGCTTGCATCTCATTACACGATGGAACACTGTAAAATACGCCTACTTGGTTCACTTGAAGTTCAAATACTACCCCGTTATCTTATTCGGCAGTTTCATCTGAATCCTTGATCTACTTTGTGGAATTGAGTATCGATTTGCACCTTATTGATGGGCGTTCACAGTTCTCTTTAGCTACTTTGTTAATAAACCACTGCTACTGGTTGGTCCTGTTTCGGTTCCGGTCTTTCGATTGCCATTCTGATAAATCAGTCTATAAATGAATGAAATCGAACTATCTACTAGTACGATGCTACCGAAACATATACATATATTCTGGGAACAATAGCGTGACGCGCCTGATCAAGTACACCGTTTAAGGTTCGCATATGTTATCACTAAGCCATTGGTTGACAGTCATTCATCTTCCAGTGATTAAATACTTAGACGAACATTGCTTAATGAGAGCATCCACACGGCTGAGTTCGTTACTCATATCCGTTTGCTAGTGTGGAATTTGTTCTACGTGTGACTAAAACCCTACCGGAAATAGCATGGAAATTTTATGTTCTTACCTGTTATGTTATTTTGTGTGTTGCTCATCTAACTCCCAGTTTTAATGCTAACACCTTACACAAAATCCATATTAATCAAATAGTTGTCCCAGCGATTTGGTGCAATGCTGTACACAGCGATTCTGAACTTATGAAAACCTGACTATTTTGATTGAGTAGGAATTTGATCTCCATGGCAGCGTCTGGTCGGATTCAGAGTAATTTGTGGGCTAAGTCAACCAATTGGTACTTAAATGTCATAATCAGTCATAGTGGAATCAGCAGCGCTTGTGACCTGACTATCTTCAAAGGTGTTCATTGTAAGATACTTGTGCATTCCTGAAGCACAGTGGGCTATTATCAATCAAAACATTGTTTAGTTGAGATCGAAACTGTGCAGCACTTGATTCGGCACTGTGCAGACATTGAGAAAAGTCAAAAACAATTCAGAGGCTAAACTGTTTGTTGCCTGATAACCGGTAGCAATGACTGAGTTTCTGTTCTGCATGTATGTCGTTCAGTCCATCAAAAGCTTTGCGGTGTCAGGCTAAGGTGCTGATTTTCGGTCGACCAATGGGAGGGAAGCAAAAGATATTATTTCAATGTTCAGAGTAAGATTACAAAAGCAAGTAAACAAGGTCCGCGCAGTAAGTAAGCAGATGCACGCGCATGCCACCATTCAAGATTTTGGGCTCAATCGCTCAGTGTATCTAACCCTCGGGTTGGTTTCCAAACCGGGTCCCTTGATCATGAATATCGAACTCTCATGACCTGTCTAATTCTCAACTCCTTCCGTTGTCTTTGACGCATTATTTACTGTGGAAACTCTGGCACGTCCATCTGATGACATGCGTAACACATGCCCCAACCACTGAAATTTTTAGAAGTAAAGCACTTTCTGCAGTATGTGGTCGTGATTGCATGAAACTTCTTGCCTAACCTCAGGATTTCTCATCCCGTTTCCTCTCTCGGGACTTGTGAATTGCGAGGAAGATAATGGCTCTCTAAAACACCGATAGTTGGTTTCTTATTCCTCTCCCGTAACGGTCATGTTTTTTATAATATACAAAAGAATTGGTAGCACAAACTGGACTTTTAAAGGAAAGCCGCACGCCATTGTGGCATTTAACGAGCCTTATACAAGCACACCGAAGCTCCCTTTGTGGTTCTTCTGCCAAGTGCTGGAGTAGCACAGTCGTGTAACTATAGTTTATTCTTCCAACTTTAAAAATACTTAGCGATCTCAATAATCAAGCAGTTCACAAAAGTTTGCGGATTGCTTCAATGTATACTCCGCAGTGCAGGTTCATCGGCGTCATCCAAGTCGGACTTAATCACATAATTTGACTCCCACGAATAGCAGTCCAATCCCTGCACAAAATCTACTAAAATATTCGGAAAATACGAAGAAGATGAAGGACGACCATGACGATCACTGCGGTCCGTGATGAAATCTGATAACAAGAGCTGAAAGCTACTGCGACTGTTTGTATACTGGTAGCACAAAAGTCATCTGCATTTTTGGCACATTTTTTGAAGAGAGAGGGGGCAACAATGCAGGCGAGTAAGTCGAAGGCCGGTTTCAAATCAAACAGAGGAGGGAGGTTGGAACTAGTAAGTCTAAGGAAGGATTCTCGGTTTTATGGTGAAAATATCTCTCGCGCACTCTTGGGGAAGGTAATCGACTGACTAGGATAAAATCATCGGCTTTCATAGATTGCATTGGTTGAGGTATGTGCCACACGTATACAAACGGATTTCCACGTTGCTCAGTGTTTGCCCATGCATGTAGTGCTTCGAGGAAAACCAAGGTTAGTCTGACTAAGGCTTGGCATAAGGATACAAAATCCCTAACAAGGAGAGCCGGATCCTGGATGGGCACGTTAAAACCATTGTATTCGATGATTAGAGCAAATATATGAAATGGTTACGTTGCAAGCAGTGGCGCTCGTGCGTCTACTACCTATCTTTGCAACAAAATTCTAGTGGAACACTCCATTTTCTCTTCAGCGCTACATTAAAATTTCCATGTTAATTCATGTTAAAAATGAAGGATGTTATTGTGAAAACCATATTGCTATGTTTGGAGTGCTAGTTGCTAGTCAAGCGCACAAATACTGCAAACGTGGAAAACGCATTCGTGCCGGTTGGCAAACTGCCCTTGGTTGTACTACTTCCAGCAAGATGACCATACCTACCATTGTGCGTAACAATGTTTGGGAAGCTTCCGGACTTATCCTACCTGCTCCAGTGAAAGGAATTTCGCACCTCTTGTGTCTTGTGTCTTCATCAGTCATGGCTCAATGAGGATGTGGACGATTCCGTACTCCAACTCGATAATTTCGTCTGCTCTAGAGAGAATAGAGAACGCTGTAGGAAGAAGTTGGGAGGCGGTGTGATTACTTACATCAATTCCAATTTGTGCGGCAGGTCCGAAGTACTTTTGAAGTATTCACAAAATGGCGTTGGTTGCTTGAATGTCGTCTGTCACCCCAAATTCTCCCGCCTTCCTTTTATCGCCATCAATAATTTATACATTGCATCCCAGTGTAGATTATTAGAAATTGACACATTTTATGATCATTTCCTACCGATTATTGCCTTATCTCTTGCTGAAAGCTTGCACCTAATGGCTGGTGACTTTAACCACACACCCTACACCCTTTATTGTGTCTAAACCTTAGTGATCTGGTTATTGAACCGACTAGAGGAAACTCTCATCTAGACCCCATAATCACAAACCACGCTCACACCTTTTCCACCAAACAGTTCTCCCCCTTAGGCACCAGCGACCACAACCTGATCCTGGTCAGACCTGAAATTTGCTCACAATCAGGACATTTTTCTTTTACTCGACCCAAACACACCATGTTCCTTCAGGGAGATCTTTCCCCAGACAATATTGCCTTGCTTAGATCATCTCTTAAGGTAGTTACCAACTGTTTTCCTTTAAACACAACCTGCTTGTCAAATATGACATTTCTGACAGAAGTGTTAAACTGTGTTTTTCACATATGCTGTCCTGTGATAACTTTATTCCTTCAAAATCGCAGAATATAACTGTTATAACTCTCTAAATCTTGAATACAATACAATACATTGATCATCCCGTCATTCTCTCCGATTCCCGTTTTCAACATTCACAGTCAAGCGATTCTATAGCTATTACAAAGACAACAGGTCTTTTGCTTTCAGCCCTTTTCCGACAACTGAAGGCGTTTCAATCCATCACTTCCGCGATCTACAAAATCATTTGCATAACTATCCATTTGCCATTCTATAATGTGGTACTAAAAACACTCGCGAATGCTGAAAACGGTAGCCACATTTTCCCAATTTTACTTTTTACAGTGAAAAAATGTTTTTTTACAAAAAACCTTTCTTTGAAAGGTTCAATTGATTGGTTCTCCCAAACGGCCAGATTCTTTCGGACCACAGTTGCCAATATTTGGAATATGTTTGGTCAGCATCAGCCTGCCTTTTTCCAGTTGTCATGGGAATGATTTTCTACTCTAGGGAAAAAGCTAGATTATCGATTACTTGGACAGTAGTGTTTGCCGTTAAAACGTTGCTGGGCCAATCGGAAACAGAATGACCCGTTACCAAGGCCACCTTTAGAACAATAATGTTGTTTAGTTGACACACCATTTTCTCCTAGATCTGAAATTATATTTCATCATTTGGATAGATGTTTCAAACATACTGAATTCTATTCCTTGGAAATGGTCTTTCAGATTTTGAGTGTCAATTCACAATATTAAAGCCAACCGTGTGACATGTGAACGATAGACATTGCTTTTACGACTCACCCAAGTGTATTAATTATACTTTGGTGATCAGATGAAACTACCTGGCGACATCGGAAAGGAATAATTCTATTTACAAAACCAAACCCGTGTTTCTTCTTTGGTTTTACAGTTATTCATTCTGGTAATTTATCGCGGGTCTACCCAAACGAGAGCTAGGAGGTGAAAATGATCTGATGCACCTTTGACTTCCCTGGCCTTCGCAAACCAAGATCTGTGTGAAATTCCGTAAACCACCCTACCTGGCTGATCAGGTGTACTAAACCGACACAGTGATAGGTGATCTTGGATAATCCATTCTCACAGACACATTTGATGATTTTATTTGCAGTTATCTGCTTGTTCCTGGTGTACAGTTCTTAGGCCATATTGCCACAAATGTTCAGTTTACGGTGGCGTAGGGGAATTCTTTTCCTCACTAAAACAACTTATTCATTTTTCCCTTGCATTTGGTCGCATATTCCGCATTCGATTACTTGATAACCAGCTTTCTTTGTACTCCGTTGATTTACTGATCATGATGCGCAGAGAACAAAAAGTTGTTTGATGTCTACCATAACACACTGACCGGGATGAGCCGGATAAATTCGTCCTCGGCGACCACGGTTGAGACCAAGTCCGGTGAAAATCGAAGATATTGGTTGACTGGAACGCTGGCCGTGGCGCAAAATGCGGAGAATGAGGGCGAAGAATCTGCTTTGAATGCGTTTGCCAACTGGATTCGTTCAACCGGTCCGCAGCAGGAAGCCTTGAAACCATTTCTGCGCCGATGCGATCTAACCTCGGAAGATCTAGCAAAAATTCAGGTACTTAAATGCGATGGAAATGTTTGTGATAATCGACAAAGAGCAGTGTATAGCTGTTTCATCATGTTTGGGACTCGTCACATAAACATTCACTGTGCAAAATTCAGGTACCATTCCATTTCCTTCAACATAGCTGTGAAAACACTTCCTTATCATAATCATCAAATGATTGGTTGGGTTGTGTTGCAATTTATTTGAATTATTTCGTTGGAGGTCTCTTCTGATAGTTGTCCACTGCGCATAATAATCTTATCCCATTTCACTTCCGGTATTTTTCGCACCAGTCAGTGAGTGTAGTATTCGCCTTTCTTTATCAAACATTCTCGGTCACAGAGACCGCAATCGATTGGCTCGCTGAATATGTTGAAACCGCACCACAGCCGCATCACTTTGGTGCTTAACAGACCTGCTTGTTCGCGACTCACTGTCGGCTGTAATCTGTTTACCCATCCCACTATGAATCATGTAAGCTAAATTCCAGCCTGCAGGCAATTAAAATTAATTAAGGCCGGGTAACCAATGAGAGCAATAAGTATACAAAAGACTGTTTCTTTCGAATATATTCACTTTGTATACCTGTTTCCCAAGATGGGGACCAAATCAAAGCATTGCAACTTGACCAGAGCGCTGTCTATGAAGGTCTTCCTGAAAATGTGACTACCTGTTTGCACTAAGGTGGTTCATCATTGGGAGCCATTGAATTTTTACATGTTAAATTGATCGCGGCAAGTCAGTAAATGGATAAAGAACCCGGGTAAATTTTCAACAATTCACCGTGAAATTCAGTAGGTGACGGAGATTTTCGCACTGATCAATTTCAATGATCTTTTCCAATGAATTCTACCCCATTTATTCAATTTTTCCAGTTGATGATTTCAAGCTGTGAGTCTAGCTTTCTTCAGAAGAAATTACACCAAATTGTTTTTACATTTGCTTCTCTTGAGACTTAAAATCAATCACTCTGTGGTACGTCTGTATTATCCAGTTATCGATCATTGTTTTGAGTGACATTCAAAGCTTGTATATGCGTTTTGTTCACTCACCAAATGCTTACTGTATTCCAGCATCTGCCAGGACTAGTTTCGTAAGGAATTTAAAATATTTGTTAAGTCCACGAAGTGCGATGGGGTCCTTGGCCTGCTTCAATTGTTGAAATAATCCCACAGAGCACATTTCAAACAAAACAACAGAGTGGCAAACAAGCTCGTTTTCAGAGATTCGTGCCAATACATCTCAGTATATATCACTGCTTGGGAATAAAATTGTCATGGGCAAATTAAATTAAATTAAAACAGATTACTAAAATCGATTTCATCGTGAGACCGGAAATCGGGTTCACCACGATCACATGTTTGTTTGTTCTGTCATCCGATCATCGAGATTACTCACGATGCGATTTGTATGGGAGGGGGGTGGGCCGCGTGGCTGAACACCGGAACGATTAGGTCACTCACCAGTGTAGTGGTTTCACACCTAGGTGAAACAAATCACACCGTGAACGTTCGCGAGGCTTTCCAACAAAGTTCGTGGACGATTATCGAGGCAGGTTCGCTGTCGGATGTTGGCTACGGCAGAACCGGTGGGCATTCGTTTGCACAACTCCCCTCTGTGTGCCCAAAAACAATTTGTTCAAGCGCTAGAGCTTACTGTATTATTCATTCGTGAACTTTCTTCTCGCTGATTTGTAACTTGAGTATGGGCAAACACCAGGTGGACCGACTGCTAACTTTTCGAATGCATTGGTCGAATCTGGTTGGTATAGGACCATGAATTACATCACAACCTGGACCAATAAAAACGTCAGTTGGTAAAAGTGTTTCACAAATGGGTTCCTTGCAAACTGTGAGAGACAGAACGCGTATGCATCTGAAATTTGCAGTTCAAATGCGATAGAAGATTTTGAAGATTTTAATATCTGATAATGAACTTGGATTTATTCAAATAATTTCAAATGTGAATGACAATGATGGAAACAAGATAAACCTGTTTTACCGATGTCCAAATCTGATAACCATAAGAAGGAGATCATGACTATAATTGGGTAGCGGTGCAAACGTGTAGTGAGCTATGACTTACTTCCAGGTAGTCAAATGACCAATTCAGGTATAAAATGTGAATTATGGGATAAACATTAGATGGAACAAATAAGGAAAATCTGATTTCGCTAGCCATTTGTGCTCAACCAGTGTTCCATCTCGACAGGTCACATCCTTTCCTGAGCAGTTGATCAAGGTTGTTGCAGCCTGTTTGGTAAAGGATGTTACATGCTGTGTGGAGATTTGATCTTGCAATTTTTGATTACCGTTTTTCAATTTCATTTCATTTTCTTGAATATGTAATGACAATTTTCAGGAGGGGGGAAGCGGCCAATCAAAGGACTGTCGTACAACACACGAATGGGGAAAGTCAGGTGGTAGTGATGGGGTTCGAACACTCGTTCTCCGGGTTGATAACTTGGCGACCACCGGGCCACCACCGCCCATCTGTGCAAAACTGTTCGAACACTGAACTTATCGCTGATGATAATGCTAAACAGTGTAACTTGGTTTCACTTTTGCCGATAAAAAAGAAGATTGGCATGGGAAGAAATTATGAAAGTAACCGAAACTTGACGTTAGGTCAGTGAACAAAATAATAAATGCATCATTGTGTGATATCCCGTCTGCTCAAAAATATTTTCCGTCATACTTTAGTGCCCCAACCGCTATGTGAACAACTTATTACAATGTCGGTAAGCGAAACAAGAAATCGATCACCCCCTTGATTAGCTTAAAATGGAACATAATCACGCTTCAATCACAAGGATGTATTCAGTTGCAAAGAGGATCAGTGCATGAGTGCTGTCAGAAGATATTCGTATTTACTATGAATTCGGCGAATTGTATGGTGTCGTTTTATTTCCTGTTGTTTAACATCCACACATTATTGTCTCTCTCTAAAGGAAAAGCATCATCTGAATCCGCTTCCTCCTGGATGGTATTACACTGGAGTTTATTACGTCAGTATGAATGGGGACAAGTCTTTCCAGCATCCAAGTAAGCACTCAAATATAGTGATTGTCATAATGTTACAGGACTGTCACTTACTTTGTGCTTTCGCTTATAAAACCACCTATTCTGAAATTTCGGTTGGGAAATTGATCTTGCTTACAGGAACCATGAACTTTGTTGGTATTGAGTATTCTCAAGGGCTAGAGAACCTCATCCAGAGGCACGGGATTAACATGAATTAGAAAACGTGGGAAGTTTCTGGATTCAGGTCCAGCTCAGTTATAGCAGAAAACTGTGGATTTACTTCTTCAGATTTGGAACAAAATCTGGCTTGTGAGTCACATATTGGTCACCAAGTGGAACACATCTCACGTTAGCTCTTGTTGTCCACAACAGTTAGCCTACATTCTGTTCACTGCTAAAGGTCTATTGAAAAAGTGGCCTTATTAAATACCTCAGTTGTTTTAGCATTAGGCGCTGAGGTCCCCATAAAAACCTAGTCGACTATAAGTGTTTGATTGCATTAATTTCGATAGGTTACTGTTTTTATTAGGCAATTCTTCGCTAACCAAAGGAAACCGTAGGTTAACTTAGTCGAACATTCATTTTGTACCAGGCAACACGGCGGTTTTTGGACGATGACATGCAAGGTTATCTCAAAAGTCGTGACACTTTGATTGAAAGCTGACCTTCTGTTCACGGAATGATTTGTGCAGCCTTTGTTACCTGTTCTTGAAAATTGAAACAGTTAGCGATTCGTTACTCGAGGGTGAGAAACAATCCCCTGGTGAAGTGAACCAGTGGCACTTTCTTTAAGGGATTAACACGTCGTTGAAAAAATCCTGAATGATTTCCGGTTCAAGGCTGTAACGAAACTCGGTAATACCGCTTTTAACAGCATGTATCCAGTCAGGTTCAGATATCCGTACTGTCGATCTAGGGGTTTCATCTTTCCCTTTTTCCAAACTGCACTTTGTACTCTCTGTTATGTGCCTATTGTAGACATCGAAGAATTCATTATGGAATATCTGGAGGCCGAGAACAACAAGATCGCAGCCAGAAATGCTCGAATCAGTCGGCACCCAGTCCCGGACGTGTTCAACGATCCCATCTGATTATTTACAATGCGCTTCCCTTTCTATCCAGTGTACTTGTTCTGTTGGATAGTTTTGCGTTTCACCGAATGCTCTAAACCGTTGATGAACACCTTTTCTCTTTTATCCTAAACTGATTGAGATGTGGATTCCGAGAAGGTGAATTATCTGTCCAGGTCATTTTCTCCTACGACTTGTCGTNTATATATATATATATATATATATATATATATATATATATATATGTGCGTATGCATAAACTACGTATAACAGCGGGATGCTGAACTAAAATGTTCATCATCAGAAGTAATAGAGATTTCGAACAGACAGAAAATTCTACAGAACACAGCGGGGTCTTTGTGAGAAGGTGCTATCGAATAAGCTAAAATAAAACTGAGTTCTTGTACCCTGTGTTTAACTTCATTTGACGTAAATCAGCGTTTGCAATTCAGGTTCGTGAATTAACCGACTACGAGATTTGCAAATATATGAATGAGAAATTGCTTAATAACAATCGACCAACATTTAAAGCTTTCATTACAGATTTTTAACTGATACTCAGTTATTGAGTCAGCTTTCAGTAGAATTTCCTGAAGTAGGACTTAGGGAATCGGTTTGCGGCATTTCGAAGTCACTATCATTTCTGTTCTCCGAAAGTTGTTTTTTTCAACGATCTGATTAGAAAGGAATTTATCTTCCTTGAATTCAAGGGATATCTTACAGGTTTTTTAATCCATAACCGCCTTTCTACACTGAATCAGAGAACGCATAGTTCACTCTAAATAAATAGTTACATCATAATCATAAAATAAACACTAATTAATGATCAAGAGGAAATCGTGGTTTGTCCAGGGTATGGAAGAATCGTAAGGGAATGAACAGCTCTGTTCACTTTTTACCGTGTCTCTCAGCTTCTCCGACAACAGATGTTAGGAATTATTGAAGTCCCAACCACGAAGTCGGAATGAGTCCACAAGTGACAGCCGCCTTGAAGTTCGTTGTTTTCTCCTCCTTCGTCACGGTTTGATCTCCAAGGCATATATTCCATCCAAGTCCAGCANTAAAGCGTGCAGTAGCAACCTCTGAGCCGGTCTTGACAACGCGTGCTCAAATAATCAATGATTTGCACCTTTGGATGCTTTGATAGGACCCAATCCCAGGACCAAATCGTTACTCATATGACGATCCAGTAATAGTGCAAATACAGCGGTAACCAAAAGTGGCTGAACGACAATACGTCTGAATGTAAAAAGGGGATGTTTCACACCCGTGTAACAGTATTCAACGTACTTTGCATTCCGTCTTCAAGATCACAACTGATTTTGCACCTGCTCTATTGTTGTAATGCACTCAATGTCAGATGGACCTACCAAACGCTTGTGGTTAGCTTTTAAGCTCTTCGATTTAAATTAGTTTCAGTTATTCATTGTTTCACCAAATTAATATACGATAAATAGTAACAAATAGGAGCACGGAAATCAAACCATAGAGGTTATTAAACTGAAAAATCAACACTGACCCGATGTAATACCACTTTTATAGGCCCAAAGTCAGTACTTCAGCTTCATCAATGAAGGTAGGCACATTCTTCTGCTTGATTTAGATGCGCATGTCGCACTTTTAACTCACAAGTCATTTGCAGCATCAAATCACCTTAATTGCCTAAGTTTATCGCACGATTTCTAGTTTTTCATCTATTCTAGTTATGAAATACGCATGTTCCGCGATGAAACTCCAACCTACACTACTGCAAAGTGTATGCGCTAGTAGCTGAGTAGGAAGACAGCACTAATAATCATAATGATCATGTATTTGTTTGTCCGTCCAACATTAAAAATATAAAACCCTCGAACATTTTACTATGACTATGACAAAAACCGAAATATCAACTTTAACCGGTAGGCATTTACTTTTTCTGTCACTCGCAAGGAATACCAAATTAAACAACTGGCAATTATCATTTATATCGATCTATGTGAGGGAACAAGTTCTTGAACTCACGATTTGATTGGTTTGGATTATAGTTCTTTCGAGTGCTAGCATACATGGGTCTTCTTTATATCTATTATTCCACCAGAGGAGTTGCTGGTGCTGTGAGTACTGGATTAGAATTACACCCTGACTGAGTTGTATACACAATCCGACGGAACTTTTTTTATTACACACCCAAGTGTGATGAACAACAGACAGGGCGAACCACGTAGTCACGAGGACCTGCTGGTCAGTGATGGTAACTGAAAATCTAAGCCCTGGGACTTGAACTGGTGAACCACATAAAGCCCCGCTGGGTTAGGCGTGACATTGAACCGGACGACAGCAAATCTGTCTACCAAAACCAAGACGGAAAACTAACATATATTCTGCAACGAAGTCTCCAACTATATGTGCGCTATGTGCATAGTGCAATAACTGAATCACATTCTTATGAAACCTCGCGAATTCTTCCGATGAGGAACAGTCCTACATCTTGGCGTTAGTTTATGCACCAGATTTTTAGTGTCGTCACTCAAACAGTCATCTCGGAGGGGGCTATCATTCGCCTACGAGGATTTCACCACATACGACTAATCCGAGGGCGATTCAGTTCTATTCTCTAACATTTTTCCGTGAGTTCCTCATAAAGAACCGGAATAGATTTGTTTTTCGGCCATGTCTACTGTCCACCGAAACCAAACGCCGGATACGAGAATTCTCAACAAACACAGCAATAGAACACAACAGCAAAATTATACCTGTGGAGGACTCTTCATCTGAGATTATTCTAAAGGTTTCTCTCTGCAACTGATGCAAAAGGAATGTCTCTCGGGACTGATCCGAAGCACCAATGAATAAACCAATGGGCCACACGAACGCTGATGTGACTATTTCATCAGCGCTAAGTTGCCTAATAAAATTAAGCTTGGGAGACTAATCGACTGTGCGGTTTGTATGCAAATGGTTTATTGAAAACAGATCGCACTTAAAGTAAAACACATGTTGTACCTCAGAAGACAAACAATCAAAAAAGGAGGAAACCAAAGTAAAGTATGCACGTGAGAAAGGTCTTCCCGGCGGGTCAAAATGTAGTCACGAAATCATGCATGTTTTCTGGTTCTTTGTCATCGCACTTGATCCAAATACTGCTGGTCAAATCCAATATTATGAAACTCTGTGTGACGGGGGAAACCTCATTCCCTAACCGCTCACTAACTTAGTTATTCTGCATTTCGCGAGTAATTATCTTATTTTTTCAATTGCTTTGGTGTCGGGCCAGTAAATACATAAATCAGCAATTAACGAAGCAGGCAATTAGCATTGGGCATGTGGTGGTCATGATGAAAATCTTGGGTTCACCTTGACGAAAACATTTCAGTGGATGTATTTTTGGATAAGCTTGAGCAAAACCAAAATTCTCACACCATCACTAACCTAAATAAAGGGACGATACATTTGACATCTGTCACACGGCAATAGATATTCACAGTTTCATGCTTTTGTTGAACAAAGCGGCCTTTTAAGGTGACTGAAAAGACCATTTAAGTATATCCCTTCATTAAGTCGTATACCGAATGAGCAATGGGAACATCAAAAAATTGCTTCATACATGTAAATGCGTAGGACAGAATGCATCACTTCACAGTATTGGTGTTCCACTTCGATGCAAATGAAACTTGTTCAGTAGTCTGTCTTTTCTAGCTGGCCTAATCTGTCATACCGGGACGATGTTCTCTAGAATACTGCACACTGGAAAGTACCAAAGAAGAACCGTTTAATAATATGATGAATTTAATCGTGATACATAGAGAAAGAAATGTAACTTAAAAAGGTAGAAAACATTCTACACCTATTTCTATTTTGTTGGTTCTTTTTATTATATGTCTAAAGTCATCATGTAATTGAAATAAATCCTTCTCATCTGTATTGATTGATCAGGTTTTATACATTTCCCACCATTTCATAACCTCGGAGCCAAATTCTAAGTTTTGGCGAGGTTAGATGTTGACAACCGGCTTGGAAAAAAGTATTGTAAGATATCGTGTATATGCAAAGTGCAATTGTATGATGGAGTGTTCGGCAGTAATGTGTGTAGCATGCTTCTGCTCTGCCTGTCGCGACGGTTGCGATTCATTGTTTGGTCGATGGTTTCACGCTGGTAATAAGACCCGACCAGGTCAAAACAACTGCGCAGTGCTTCTCAGCCTTTCGTTCTCGTTTATCTAGATCTTAAAATCACAAAATTCATTATATAAACGAATTAAATAATCCTTTACTCACTGATAATCATTTACTCTTTGCCACGGGGAGGTGGAATTAAATTTGACAAATCTACTAACCGCCGAGAAGAGAAACGTCTCCATAAAGATTCCGTACACAGAAAGTTAAAGTTAAACGTTTGGAACCTGATGGGGTTTTTCTCTTTATGTTTATATCTGTGTGAAACATTAGTGTTGTGAGGTACTACTCACAGTTGTGAGTAGAATGGAAAATAGTTCGTGAATCCCTTCGACGATCAGACTGAGGGTAAATTGCTGTATCTCAAAGAATAACTATCGATTGCTACACACATTGCCCGTTGTGCGGCTAGGAACTATTATGGTATATTTCTGATGAGATTTCTGTGTTATGTACGCCAAATTAGCGATGTCCAATCTGCAATCCTCAATAAACAACTATCCCCAATCGAGCAACGCCGTGTGGAATTATAACAGTAGTAGCCGCACTAAATACTAGCGATACTGCACTCTCACAGAATTGTCTTCCTCTAGCGTTTATTTACCATATAATGAAAAAGAACACCGGTGAAAACATGAAGCAATTCATTTATAATGCCAAATCATGGTTATCTATAGGGAACAGAGAGAGCACGAGAATGCATATATCAAGCGATTGGTTGGCTGGATTTCTGTCAACCATCTTTAATAATTAGAGACAAGATCATTATGTGCGTAAAATGTACTCCCTGAGATGCAGATTAGAAATTCGTACATATTTTCGAGTCATTCATATTTTACTCATTGTGAAAAACACACACATATATATAT